GCGGCGACGATTTCGTGATAGTCGAGCGACTACGATATTGCGACACGTTACGCAGACTGAAAATGCGATTGGTAGAAACCGGCCGCCCACTCCTCCCGCGAAATTACGCGCGGTTCCGCGTTGCCTCGAGTCCTACCTTGAAATCGAAATTACCGGCGAGAAATGGGGCGCAATAAGGAGATTCGCGAGGAGATTCCGAATTCCGGCGCGATGGGGAGACATCAATCACAAATTGAGTAAATTGCGACTGGTGACATGACCGGTCACGGGAGACGTATATTGAAAAAGTTCGCGAAGATTGCAAAGTTCATCTGCAGCGTGAAGTGTGCTCGACATTCTGATATCGTACGCGCGAATCGTGACAGTCACGATTCGCACATTTCTCAGTCGATATCGTGCTGCGATACGAATACGTAAATCACGAGTTTTCGCCGCTTTTCGTATTATCTTGATACAATCGAGCGTCAAATCAAGGACGTTTTAAGGCGAAACGGGTTTGATAAAAATTCAACGAAACTTGTACGTGTACTCTGAAATATTATCTAACTGCTCATGTAATTAGAAAAAGAATGACCATTTGAGAGGAGAGATATTTGCAACTAAAGAGAGGAGAGATATTTGTAACTTGACACTTTTTATACACTCCTTAAGACGTGCTATTTTTAATTTCCTTTCTAATATCGCCTAAACTAAAAATGAGATTTTGATGGAAAATTTCTATGATATTAAGAATCATTTCATATTATAAACAAATTTGTAATATTGTATATATATGTTTACCTGAACTTCGTTTCAGATTAACATTTATTATTTAGCTAATGAAATAAATGTACAGGAACATAATTTTGCTTGATAAATACGGAATTTATGAGCGGCCCTTTCAATACGCCACTGAAAATACGACACTGTGCGTTACAACCTCTTTAAAATCCCGTCAACGCAAAGTTCACGCGAAGTTCCGCGAAAAGAACGAGGTTTTAATAGATTCTCTCATCCTCGAAACTTTCAACTCGTGGAAACTCTTAAATCTCCCGCGGCAAATAACTTCGATTGTGCTGCGGTTTCAATTTTGGCCAAGTTGGCGGGTTTCCGTCCGGCGGGAAATACCGTTTTGTCGTCGTATGGATTTTCAAAGAATTTCTTCCCCCTTTTTCTCTCTTCCTCTCCGCGCATCTTTTCCACCGTTCGAAGAAATATTTCGCAGTGACGGTTGTCGTGGTTACGCAAGTTACGTAAATTAAACCGCTGTTCTTGGCAGCACCCTTATTTACCCGGTACCACCTATAGAGTCCGATAGATCGCCAATCGGTTTTAAGTTAGGAGGAGTGAGTTATCGCGAAGGAGCCGTGTAATGAAGACAAAGCGGGAAGATTATCCGCGAGGAAGAACTTCTGCGAAAAACTGACGAGCGTGAAAACGGACAATCCGACGCGCGCTTTCCGATTTCTCTCTCTCTCTTTTTCTCCCGCCGTTCGTTTTGAGTCGCGACTCTCTTGCAGCGTCGTTAATTAATTCCATAATGAGCTCGTTTATTCTCGGCGATACGATTCCACCGTCGGATAAAATTCGACCGTTGATGCGGCAACACGAATCGAACGTTCGACGGACAGGCATCTCTCTGTGTTCCGCATCCAAGTTTGCGCGACTACTACGTTCACGTCAAATGAACTTCTCACACCGAGCCATTAAAACCTGACGTAAGACGTCTCGTATTGACCAAACTTCCGAAATACGGTTGAACAAACACGTCGATTCGCGCAATTAACTCAAGATACGCATACTTCGTTTAACTCGAAAACCGCGATCACAAATATTTGTCCAGCCGGTGAGTCTATTATTACTTCATAAAGTATGTAATTTCCCGCGGCGCGCAATAATTCGCCGTAATGGAGAAGGGACTTCCCCGGCGCACAAATTTCGAGCTCGTTTCAACCCGGCGACCAAGTTGCGGAGCAACGATTGGATTCCTGCGAGGGACTCGCGTCGCTGCTCTTTCAGGCCGCGTTTGAGGAATGTGTCAGAACGGGCGTTATGCGCGATACATAGGGTGCATTCTCGACGTAAGTGCATCGCCACGGCGTCTTGGAAAGTTCCGCTTTCGAGGTAAGCACGGAGGTGCGCGCGGTTAGTGGCGGCTCCCAAATGACTTTGTTAATTCACGAGGACGACCGTTAAAGTACGCTAATGTTAAACTTCCGTTCAGATCGTGCCGAATTTGAATATTCTCATTTCCGCGGGCGATGTAACCGCGCAAACTATTTTCCCCCCAAGGGAGGTAAAGTGTAACGAGGTGAGACCGTTAAAGCTAAAGGGCCCTTTAACACGTTCAACGCCGCGCTGACTTCCGTCGATTGTTCGAAAGTTTAATTAAAGACCGATGATACAGTAAATAAATGTACAATTCCGGAAGCGTGCGCATGCACGCACGCTTTTTATCGCGTTTAATTGGCTCTCTATCGCGCTGGCCGTAAACGTTTGATTCGTTATGTGTAATTAATTACATTTTATGCGTAAATTAATGATGACGGGTCAATATTGGTCATATTGCGTCGGTCATCGATGATGACCACCGTGTGGCATTCGGCACGTGCGAACGCGCGATAAACCACCAAGTTACACTTTTCGGGAGCGTTTTGACGTTGAATCGATAATTAGAGAGGCGCATTCATGGTGAAAACGAGCCATCTAATTTAAGACAATTAATTGTTCAATGCGAGGTGTTAATATTCATAGGCGACGATAGTCCAATTATTAAGTTATCAACTTCATAAGTATATTATAATTTAATTAAAAGCGGCACTCAATATCGTCGGGTAATTTTCGAGGTGATGGTTGAAAATTAAATTTCATTTTATGCGAACACAAATCGAAAAGTCAATTATAAATGAGATACGAAAGGATACTACGTGAAAAATTCAATTTCGCTGTCAGCAACACGTTCAACAATTTCCATTTTATTCTCAAAGTTGCAAACGTTTGCATATTTTAATTTTAACTCTAATATCATACCGTTTGTTCGAAACCTTGTTATTTCATTCCTCTCTCGAAAGTATTTAAATAAAATAGTAAAAAAAACTCGCCAGTTTTTATTACCCTCCGGTATACTTTCGAACGAGAAACTGAAACAATTTGCGGTAACTACGCAATAAGAAATTTATTACAACATCCGTGTCTGAAACATTCTCTTTGAATTGAAAAAGCCTCCTCTTAGACCTGCAAGAGAGGTTTGGGACAACTCGTGCGTCTCGTGGCGTAATGAACAATTCGATTATCGAAGCTCGATCTCGACGTGAGATAAAAGCCAGAAGAGACTCGCTGGCACCGAGAGTGCTCGTAAATCAAAATGGAAAGGACGCCGCGTGTCTTAAGCCAATCAACGGCCGTAACTGTATTGCGTAAATGAGTTACGATGTTGTTGTTGTTGTTGTTCACGTCACACGTGCGCTTTCACCGTGTGCTTTCGATCTTAAGCCTCTTCCGGCGCCATTCACCGATAACTTCTTTGGCGTTCGTCGCGCCGATGAAGACAAATCTAATCGACGACGAAAAGGATTTCGGACTGCCCTCGTCATCGTCCTCGTTGTCTTTGCCGTCGTCGACGCGCCCACGCGTAGGGTAGGCGACTTTCTCTGGATGGATTACGAGAGACGCAAACTAAAAGTCATCCGCTCGATAAGCCCGGCGAATTAGAGCTTGATAAATTGCACGAGAGACTCGAGAAGAAAGTAAAATGAAATATATGAAATATAAGGGACATGATGAAAAAGAAAGCAACGCGCGAAATCACCGATTAAAGCTTTGAGATATGATACCATGTATGATAGTTTTGTCAAGGGTAAATTCTATTTAGTCAATGTTACTGAGAGAATTATATTTAAATAATAAGTAAATGATATAATCTCTAATTGTGTATATATATTATGGATTCTTTTGATCGTGGGGAGAGGGAGAAGAAATTACTGCTTCTTTAAAAAAAAATTAAAAAAGGAAATAAAGATAAGAAATATTATAGATAAAGTTTCGAAGAGACTCATGGAAATCTAATAAAGTAAAAGGCCTTCGCGCAAGAGGTTTCAAAGGCTAAAAAATAATCCGGGCGGATCAAAGGTATGCAGATTAACGTTCGACGATCGCTACGGAACAACGGCCGCCAGAGATTGACTTTTATATGAGTTTACATCGTATGTCGCATAAACGATACAAAGGGCAAGCAAGTAAATTAACTTTAAAGGGCGTTATATCGTCAGATATCCGAAACATATTGACGGAATTCGACATTTGGATCACTTTCAGTCGAGGAAGATTCAGTTTTAAGTAACACTTGCAAGATCACACGGTATGCACATTTGACAAACTTTAAATAATCAGGTATAAACGTACTTAGGAAGAAGAAAAGCCAATATGCATTTCTTCCAAAATGTCAATATATTAATCGTGAATCAAACTGTTATTAATTATGAATCTAATAGAGACACACCGATATGATAATTGCGATGTTGTAACATTTTTTAAATAACTAGATACAAATATAGATACTAAAAAGGAAATGTAAATAGATATAGATACAGATATAAGTTTGAAGTAAACAACTGGATATAAATATATAATGAAAATATATCTAATTACTACATTTCATAAAATATATATTCTCATAATATCTGTATTCGTATCTAGTTACTTAAAAAAATGTATCTGTTACAACACTGATCAATCGTGAATCTAATATTTTGAATTTGAGGCGATTAATTAGATTTTTCATATCGAAGTTTTCGTTGTTAACGATAATTTTACTTCGAGATTATTATGAATATAATAACCAAAGAACTTCTTCCTAAAGAAGATATAATTGTCGAACATCATATTAAAAGAGCGATAAACGAGACAAAGAGAATGTTTGAGAATGTTTCAAGCATAGACGCAATTTGATACATTCCTTATTGCACAATGATTGTCAGTAATATCATCAAATAGTGCGACGTAGTTGAAATTTTACGACTCACCTTGCACCGTCAAACCGTCGTCGCGATTCCATCAGGATTCTTTTATGTTTGACGACACGATTTCCCGCAGGTCCGGAGTCTGCAAACAAAGATATTTACGACAAACTATATCTACTTCACATATGAATCACGTGCGTTCCTTGCGAATGTACGTCATTTCGAAGAACGATACGGCAATCGAATGATCATGCCAATGGCGGCAGAAATCTGAGGGGAATAACTTTCTTCGGATAGAGGAAAGCCCGCGCATGTTTATTTTACACGCGCAGAAAGGAAATCTCTATTCCCGCGGGTTGCATGCATACCTTATTTCAATCCGACTCGGAATCCACGGAATCCACAGAATCAGATGGGATGGAGTAATAAAGTTCCGATATTTATACGCCGACTTAACCGTACATTGCACGCCGTCGCGCGTCCGTTTGAAATTAATCTTTCGGACGCGCGAAATACGACCTTAAGTTCGAAGCAGTTTGTCAGTTTCGCCGCGAAGGGCGCCACATATTGTAACGAATCGAACGTATCGAGCGCGAACAGAAAGAGACTTGAAGAAGCGTAGTGACAGTCGGTAAGTCGGTAACGACGGTAACAGAGTAACAGAAAATTCCTACTTTATTGATCATCGTTCGCTGACCTGAGAAATCCTGCGCCAGATTTTATCCTGGACATATCAAAATGACCGCTTTACATTTAATTGGAACTTAAATCGCGAATAAAACATTCGTATATTATTAGACTATTGCAACTTCTGCTATTTATCGATTTTCTCTTCGACGAGCCCGGACAACGCAATGTCTAAAATCCGGACACAAAACGTGTTTAAAATGTCCTTGAGATGTTATTTTTCAGGTATCTTATGTCCCAATTTTAGAAATTATTTTGTCTGGGAATCGACGATACGAAACGCCGTGGTTTGAACTGTGGTCCGCCATAACGCTTATAACCGCCGATCCTGGAGTTTATTTTACGGCGTTTTATCGTCATGAACGTGCAGAATCTACTTTCCTGAATGTTTTCGACAATCTTTCGCGTAGGAATTCTTTCGGCGTGTCGAGAGTGCAAAAAACAACGACGTGAATGACTTTGAATTACAACATGTCGAACGCATGACACTCGGCTCGATAGATTCGGTTTGTTTCGCCACGAATTCGTTCATATCACGACTGTCTAGCGATAGTTTGTGATAATTGAGGTGCGAAACTTACTTTCGACGCTGGTACCGATGATCATTCACGCGTGAGACATCTTCGACAAGCGAAAATCATGAAAAATACGGAGCAGCGACTTGAACACGTTCTATCTTGCCGGAGCACTTCCGAAAAAGGCCGTACAGATGGCGCACTGGTCGCGTCATTTGCAACTACCGAAGTAACGACACGCAAGTAAGTCTCGTAAGTGCTCAAACAAATGATAATTAAAAATGACATAATTAATCACACGGGTTGCATATGTCTGTCTTCTACAGTCCTATGCAGTAGTAAAAGATAGGAAAAGAAGTTTGATGTTTTCTTCCTTTTTTTCTCAGTATTGAAAATTTAACTTATGTATGTATTATATACACTGTAGATTTTCAGTACTTACAGTGAATATCGGAATGCAGAATACAATTGTTATTCTTATATTCACTATCTCATATAGCAGCATACGTTCCAGAGATATTCGAATCTGTGGGACGTTTCTAGAATGTCCTTTGAACATTATTATTTATATGGGGTTAGATTAGGTTACATATTACGACAGTTTACGTGACAAAATTCGCATATCAATCAGATAAAGCCTCGGACGGTCAGGTTAAACACGGAATGCCGGGGTACAAATTCAGATTTCGATGGTCGAGAAAGTGAGCCGGGACGTCCACCTTTCCATTCATTCATTCATCGGATTATCGTCGATTTGACACCGGTGGCGACTTTAATCGCGGACGCGCCGAGCCGGTCGAATCCCCTGCGAACGGCGCTCAATCCTCTCGCGATCGCACCGCGTTCCGCGCTGCAAAATTCCGACAATCAAGTGGGAGTTGTTAACGGAACGCCATTCAAGAAACATAAACCCTAGGTATGCTAACTCTGATACCGCCGATGATGGTTCGTGCATGGTAGCCTGTTCAAGCGCGGGTTTCTCGTTACCGGCCGACGGATCCGAGGTATCTTTGCCCGCTTGAGGATCATTCATTAGCGTGCTTCCGCGTGCTGTCGATCGGCGGTTCGTTCCTCCTCTCCCGTCCTGCGAGATTACATTTTGCGTTAAGCGCGTTATTCATACTTCAAACTCCGAGGCCGACCATTTCGTGCTGTAACACGCGATTGATCTGTGTCGCGCGTACCAAACGAACGGAATTATCATTTTCGACGCGTACGTTGGCTCCGACGCAGCCGCAACATTCGTCGTGGCTCGAAGGAATCCCGTGGGACGACGCGCATTCGCAAACTCCTCTCGGCTCTTCCGAAACGCGACCTCGCATACAATCGCAAAACTTCGCGAGACAGTGCCTCCTCTTCCTCCTCGGTCGCCAATCGCTCTCTCTTTTCAGAGCTTTTTCACTACGGCAGCGCAATCTCCTCTTCCGTTTCCGCCTGAGTGCCTCCTCTCCGAATACGCGACGCGAATTCGCCTGAGAATCCCGACGCTCTGTTCAAAATGTTTATCGGATGCACCGTGAGCGATGAAACCTTCAATCCGACGGGTCGAAGTTCGGGATATTTTCTAAACGCAACCTTTACCACTTTTTTTGCCGCAGATACACGTTGGTTCCGTATGATCCGGCGAATTATAGGAGAGCCGTTCGAACCCGCTCGATCTCGTCGATTCTGTATTCCTCGTGCTACGCATGAATTGGTTAATGCGCTAAAGCAGTCGCGAGTTAATGCCTGACGAAGGTAAGCGTGTTTAATCTGTTTAATTTGCACGCGGATGAACAGGAACGACAGAATTGCCGAATCGAGGATAATCCTTTCGCAGAGAGGCCGCACTCCCGAAAAGTATCTCTCGGATATCGAAGTTTCCACTCGACAAATTACATGTAGCTCGTTTCACTGTTATTTACGTATATCTGACGTCCGTACGTATATATATTGGAATATCGCGGAGACTAGTGATTCGATTTCAGAAAGGAATCCGCTTGACTCAGTAAAGTGGCATGAAAGAAAGGATTCCCTCTCAGGGACGCGGGGAAAGCAAGGCCGGGATCGCTTCGCGTAAAGACGGAATGTTTCGCGATTGCTATTGAGTAGTGCACATGACAGTTATTTATTGTTATTATCCAGTGCCTCACCGTGTCTCTCGCGGCAGATACATCGAAGGCGGACTGTCGGCGGTTAATAGCGAGACTTGGCATTTCTTGCTGAAAGAAATATAGCGTATAAAATGCTTTCGACATACCGCGCATACATTGTGGAATTTATATTTTATATAAATTTTTGTATGCAAATAAATTAATTAATTAAATATTTTTATATAAATACGTTATATGTAAATGTAATATTTTATTTTTATTATGTTAGAAGTCTCAGTTCACGGCCAGAAATTCTATCACCGACAAGACACGAATTGTTTAATACTTCTTGCATCTTCTCGACCCGTTAAACAATATTTCGGAAATTTTTGAACCGTTCCTCGAGCTCTTCTTCGATCTCGCGTTCCGCGCCTTTTTATTTCGCGACACGTCGGAATTTTCTGCAGAATTTCCGTCGTTTGACGTTGAGGACAGTTTCTGATCGTTCCCTTTGTTCTTATGATTACGAGCACTGCGGATGATAAAGAAAACGTTTAACAGGGACGCGCGCGGCATGAAGTTGAAACGCGCTCGTGTCGTAAGCTCATCGTAAAACGCGGCATTTCATGAAGACCTGCTCACTGACGCGGCATTTCATAGAGATTCCTATTACAACCGTCCGCTTTTCACCAAGTCACTTGGAATCCCTGTGAAACGCCGCGTTTCACGCGTGGAAAATAATCGCGGCCGCGCCGTGTAAAACTCGAGATCTCATCGATGCAGAAAGCGTCGCGCGATTAGATTACTTCCCGCGGGAGCGTCGCCCCTTACGTCAGCTCCCTTCGACTCCCGATGCACCTTGGGTCGCGACATCGTTCCGGCATTTCCGACTCATCCGATTAAAACTCGCCTATCTCTCAATCGACAAACTGCGACATGTTCAAACTAATAATGGAGATTGAATCGACGGACTTAATGATCTCATCAGCTGTTCAATGAGACGCATACCTGAGGAAGGTTGCATACTTTCTAAACGTCTTCTCCCTTTCGTCATCGAAGAGAATCAATCGGATCCTATTTGATTACGTCCGATCATGATCGGAAGGAATTTTTACGTGATTCTCGTCGCTGCGAATTCCTTAACCTGCGTGACAAGGCGCGTGGCATTATCGATCGTATCTGTACGACTGCGTGCAACTTCAATTAGAAGTATACATATCACTGAGGGACCGAGGTTCCTTTGCGCAAAACAAAAGGCACACGCGCTTCGTTTCGTCAGCTTTCACCCGAGGATTTTCGCGCTACAGGTTTCAGCAAGAGCGCCGCCTTTAGCGTAGCGCGAACAAGGCGACGTTAGGAGGCGTCGCGCGTTTAAATTTAAACTCGTTTTATACCCCTCGTAATTTCTGCAGGATGTTCCGCGGCGGAGTATGCGTTTGCAACAACGTGCGTACGTGGATGCGATCATAGCAACTCGTGAAAATTCTCCGGCTATTTTAAGGAGTACACACAGCCGGGCCGCGTGAGGGAAGAGGAAGCAAGACGTGGGAGATAGGCGATTCGCTCAGGTTCCGCGGACGGGATTCGAAGAAGAAGCTCAATCTCGGAAGCTGCATCGATCGTCAATACACGGTTCGTCGCATCTTTCATTATAGATCGATTACACTCGAATTTATCATCTGTAACTGACGACTCCATCTTTGTTGCGGTTAATTGGGTGGTACGGCGATACGTTTACGTTTATCGGTACGTCGTATCAATATTTAGACACTTTGCTATTCCGGCGATCGGATTGCCAAGCACTTATACTCTGATAACGCGTGCTCGTTCCAACAAGATAAGTCACGTCGTCGTTAGCCAATAATTTTAGTCTAGCGCATCTCCTTAATTTTTAAATCTCTTTTAGAGAAAAAAATGAAATTTTGCAATTTTTCCACAAATTTTTTCGGTTTTCGTCCGAGCAAAAATGCTTTTAAAACTATAGTCAAAATACACTGATTCAACTCCGTGACTTCTTTTCGTCGGAAATAAATGCGATTTACATTTAAACATGCATTACGTATTGTAATGCTTTGTAAGCGTTTAGATTATACGCTCACTAATTCGCGTTGATTTTCAATGATGTCCAGACATCCAGGACCGCGTCGCTCCGCATACGTCCGGTTGTCCAACCTCCTCGGCGTCCAACCTCCGCATCGTTCAGCCGTTGTCCCACGTCGATCACACTTCATTCACGCTCGCTTTGTTGTACTGCGCTCGTGAGCGCGATAATTTTAACGACGCTTAACGATTTAATGAGAAGTACGCGATGAATTTAAATACTCCGAAAATAAACTTGCGAATCGTGTATAAAAAACCGAGAACTGAATATTATGACGTTTCTAACGAGCTAGAAAGAGAAAAAAAGTTCTCTATATCGCGGACGATTATACTTTGTCGACAAAAACAAGTTTCTTGCTTGCGAAAGTTCTAATTTGTGAAAGAAACGAGGAAAATTATGCGTATCGGATCTAGCGGTAGTTTTGATTGAAATGATATTATAACGCGCTGTTTGCAAAAAATGAAAAAAATTAATGACTGCAATGATGGCGAAATTCATCGCGAGCGACGTAATCGCGAATTCCGCGTGCGAAATTCTGGTGGCGCAATTATATTGCGCATTCTGTACTGCTTGAAATAATTAAGAGATCGTATTAAATGGGCACTGAATAATTCTTTATCCTAAATCAAATGTAAAAGGGAACCAGAATACTTATAAAAATTTACTTTCTGAAGATGAGGAATAAATATATTAAAAAAATATATATGCTCGATAGTTATGGCAAATACTCGGAATATCTGTTATATAATACGAACATTTAAAGAAGCGATCTCTCGATTATTTCGAACTAAATTTATCAGTGGACGTTATAAACACGTGCAAAAAGAAACAAGCTACGTAAATTGCATTGAACCTGTCAAAACGCTAGAAACGCATCTTTAATCTCTACACCTTATACCTCTCAGTTTTTGCACACGTATTTCTGACTCACCGAAACATCGCGAACTTAGAACTGGCCACGTTCTGTTACAGATCTGAAACAAAAGATATATTTCCATCGATTCACGATTTAAAGGCTCGACGTAACAAAAACGTGCTTTAACAAGAAAGTAAACGCTCGATGATTAGCTCTTTGCGGTCGTAACAGTAGGACTTTTGTTCCGATGACTGTTTTCTTCGATTTCGCAAAGTTAAATGGGAGCATAGAAGAGGTCTGTGAACGTATCTTCGAGCCGACTCGCTCGGCTCGAACCGGATCCTCCGGTGCTGTATTCGCGAAACTGCACCCCGGAAACCGCTCCCGACGTGTAGCCGCAAACTCTCTGGCAGACCTGAAGCAGAAAGTAATTTTCCTAATTAATTATGCCGTTAAAAAAACGACCGTATTTAGATTACAGAGACTCGAGTTTGTTTGTTCCTTAAATTAATCAAAATAACAAGCTATAATCACTTTATAGATCTCGAGATGTTGTTGCTGCTCAGGACGTTGCAGGCACGGTGCTCGAATAACGAAACGCGTCTTATTCACGATCGGAAAAATCGGGAAGAACTCCCGGCTCCCGATAGTTTATCTTGACGTCAAGGACTGTTATGATCGCTCGGCAGTTCCGTACCTACGGCTATTGTCCTCTGGAGGTCACGCGACCTCCAGCCGGCGAGACGTGCTTCCCAGCGCCGTTGCGTTGTTTACTCTTCCACCTGACTCCACACCGCGATATCGATATCGCATACCATCATTTCGCGATATTTAATTCATCATTTCGCGGTGTTTGAAATTCAGGATAGGCTTTTTCATATGACGCCGCGACATATATATGCGGTCACGCAAATATACAATAGCTGCGAAATCGATCTTGCCGCAGTTTATCCGCTGCGCTCTAACTCGTAAGCCATCACGGACGGATATGTATAAACGAGATTGATTTAGAATCGGTCATTTCTGTGGAAGTCAACTGTGTGAATTATTCCGGAAGTTCGGGCGTTCAAAGGTATACCGGATAAAAGCGATCTCGTTGGCGTAGCCGGAATGTAGGTCATGGTAGAAAGTTGCACGAGGAAAGTGGCAGCCGGGTTTTAATTTAAATCGTTGATTTATACGCACGCGGGAGATGAGACAAAAAGAGGGCGGTTGTTCGCTTATAGTTTTTAAGTCACAGCGGTCTTAACGAACCGACGTCTACCGTTTAAGTGTGCGTTGCGGAAAGAAGTTAAGAATCAAGCTTAATCGATTGATGCCGTCACATCGTTTTCTCGTGTATCGTCTCGTGTATCGAATATCATCGAATTGTCAGATTTTATTTACGACGAGTGTCAAGCACGCTATACACGCGTGTCATTATGGGATATCACGGCGTCGTCGTTTAAAGACTTGTTAGCACAGATTCACTCGCTGTGTGACTCACGTTTCATGACGTGACCGTTTTGCTTATCGCGGCTTTAGACAGGTGTGGCATGCATCGTGGAAATACCGTCTGGTCGTCGGTCGATCTCCATATTTTACGCTTTCTTCCAAAATTGGCTTTCTGCTCTCTGCGAGCGTATTTATCGGTACGCCGTTTGGCCGTAACGTCATTGTTATCTTACATTCGCGACGCCGCGGTGTTTGCATAAACGTTCGCCATTCGACGAGTACAACAAAATGCCTGGCACGCTGTGACACGCGAGATACGCTATCACCTCGCTCGTCTCAATTTCTGGCATTTCGAGGCGTTCCGTGGAGGCGACGTGGAAAAGAGAATATAATGGGCCATGGTCCTTGGAAGGACCGGTTGACGTAACCGGTCCACTATTTTTAACCGGCTCTTTTTGTCTCACTTTTTCCGTGACATTCCTTTATTCCCGCCTTTGCGCTTTAATACACGTCGACGCATCACCGACCCGACTCCTATTGTTTCCACGATTCTGCATAAACANTTAATACACGTCGACGCATCACCGACCCGACTCCTATTGTTTCCACGATTCTGCATAAACAAAGGAATTGCTTTCTCCTCGTTTCTGTCCCCCCCCCCCTCCCCTCCCCCCGGTATTTACTTTCTACTTATATCTTTACAGACGGTTCGCTGAATACTCAACGGATGGCTGATAAAGTATTATCGTATGCACACGTTATCCAGAAATAGGCGGAGTGTATCGTCAGGAGACGTTTGACTGAGGAATTTCAAAAGCGAGTGCCACAATGCAGGAGCTTCTAATGGAAGAATGCAAGTAAAGGGGACAGGTAAGGCTAAGAATGTCGCATGTATTAAATTCACACGGCCGGAGGTTGGGATTTCTTCGGTGGACGCTCGACCGCTCGCGCACGGAGAAAGGGAATTGTCATTTGCAAGGCAACCTTAGATACGAGCATTATGCTACCTGCCAGATGACCGTTACACCGCGAATACAAACGAGCGTCTTGCGGTGAGTCCGTCTCGGCGAAGGAATACGCGCGGAATTTTCGCGGACGTATTACCATCGGCCTTTCGTTAAACCTGCACCGTATCTCACTACGAAAAGAAACAAATAACGCGTCGGGTATCGCTCAAAGCTGCCAGATCGTGGGATTTCTGGATAATAATTCATGCGATTTCTAAAAATGTGCCAATCGAAACGTAGTATTTTTAGCGGCACGAAAACAAACATGTGTCGCAGGTTTTATATTAATACAGCGTTATGTATGCTCTTCACTTGAATCACGATCAGAAATTCCACGAGCTCCGGTAGCTCCGATATCACTCACAATTGTGACTTTTTAATTGTAATTTTCAAAGTTTGACCGTGAATTCATTAATCAGCGCAAAATTAACGATCGGAAGTCACGCCGAACTTTTATCCCCACATAGAACAATTACGCACTTTCGTTCAGAGGAGAGTGAAATTACGATTAAAAACGCGGGGTTTTCTCATATATAAGGAGAGCGAAGGCAGTCGATACACTTTATTTTGCCGCAGGAAATCGCATCAATCGTCGTTGAAGCGTCGCGCTGTCATCCCTATCGATAGTCGTTATGAAGTTGGGTATCGTACGCGTACGCTGGGGATAACAGCCGCTCGGACGTTTCCGTCGACGCTCGACGACGCTCGGCGGCGTTCGGCGGCGCTCGGGTGCAGCTACACCGCCCGGACCCGTCAGTCTCGCGCACACCCTTGTCGTGGGAGGTTACGTCGCGTTAAATAGCTCCGATAACGTCCTCTGACAATTCAACGGGGAAGCCTGGACGCCGGTTTCTCTCACGAGCTCCGATCGCTACCTCGTCGACGAGAGTCGGTCGATTCTCGCGAGTGCTGCGTGGATTTAGTTTCGGTACAGTGGCTGAAGCCGAGAGGAGAGAGCGAACGCTAGTGGGAGACAGAGAGTGCGAGCGAGCGAGATAGAGAGGGAGAGAGAAGGACAGTCTGTGCGACTCCGTGATCGATCCCAGTGTGTCCCGTCAAGGTGTTTTCTTTCCGCGGTCTCCCCGTTGATCTATTATGCCACTGATCGCATGTGCCGATAGATCGCTTTGACTCGAGAAGTGCTCGATAAGAGAGAACGCCCGCAAGATGTTACCGCAGACACCCGATATCATCCCGACTTCGCTCAGCCAGGTTAGTGGCAACGCGTAAAGGCGCGTCGTCGCGCGCCGGTCGCCCGCCGATTGGAGCCGGTTTAATTTCCACGAATTCAGACCGCCGCCGTAACCGACCCGTAAAACGCCCGGAGCCGCTTACTGCACAATCGTGCCGATGAAATTCTCACACAGTGGAAGCGTCTCGCGAAGTTCGGTAACGGCCTCGCGAGGCGATCCGAACGTTGAAACATTCAAACGTGCTCGGACGTTTGCGAGATGCCGGATAAAGAGGTTATCTGGCGCCTTGTGTGACCTCTAATGGAGGTTAACGTCTTTCCGACGGTGCTCGCGTATCTCGATGCGCCGTCCTTTCGTATCGGTATAATTGCGCGAGGATCTTCCGGGAAAGATACCCACGCCAAAAGAACATCGAAAGTGTAATCTCTCAACAATATGGCGCCCGCGTGCCGCCCGTCCGTATTTACAGCGTAGTCGGAAATGTTGAACTCGTCAGAATTCAGCCGGTTTCAATTAGCCGGGAGCGCTAATGGCGCAAATTTTAACGCCGTATTCGGAATTACTTGATTCTGTGTGTGTATTACACACGATATTCCCAGTCCGGATAATTAATATTTGCGGAGGTCGCATAATATGTGGAGTGAGCTTAACAGCTGAAGTTATACGCATTTATTCGTCACGGCATGGCTAAATTATTTGAAATCGCTCCCTCTCTGCCGGCTCCTGCGTCACACTCACGCACATGTGAAACTGCATGTGAGCGTGCGTGTGTGTGCCGGGCGGCGGTACCAGAAATATGATATTTAAAGCTCCGTTATAGACGGATTATGTACGTTCCACGTACGGCGTGCCTGGCAGAAATTGATTAACCTTAGTGTATTCTGTCATGGCTCGCTGAAGTCCGGGCGAAATGATTATCCTAAGGTCATTCGGGGCGAACCAGTTCATGCGATCCCGGCAGCGAAATGTGATCCGATATCGTTCGATCGCGCGAAAGTAATCGGTCCGAACGCGCTCGAACCACACCAAACGATGGCATCTATTTTAGCTGCTCGAAGAATTTTAATTGATATTCATTTGCTCCCGATTCTCTTTCGCGACTTATGCGACGTACTTATGTGACATCAGACTTTCGGTAACGATTGCGCGATCGGAATCGGCCGTGACTTGAGCTGAAATCCCTGCCACGAAACATTCGTGGCACACATTTTTTCAGATGGCGTTCAACGCGTCTCTTTCGAAACGTCAATCAGTTGACCTCGAACAGAATTTTGCTAGGTCAGAAGTTACAAGCGATCGTGTAAAACAGCGTGTCGTAATACGTCACACGGGACGAGAAATCTATCGTTTAGTAAATTATTATTATTTTGATTTAGTTATGGGAAGAGTCCTTGTGTGGATATAAATAGTAATTTAATACAAAATAACGATATATAACAAAGAACCACGAGAAAAAGGATTATATCATAAAATATACAATTTAAAGTTTAATATAAACGCGTTAAAAGTTTTTGACAATAGTCGTCTTGAATGAAGATAATGAAATGCGATAAAAATCGATTATGTAATTGAAAGAATTTGTAAGTAAACATAAACGATTAATTTGTTTAAATTTACCATAAAGAATATGATGTATCATCAGTATGAAAAAGTATATATACTTTTTAAAAAGCCTAGCAAAAGTATTAAATGATAGTAATTCTGGACATTTAACCAGGTTTCTTAGAATTTCAAATAAAAATAGAAGATTCATAAGAACCAAAAATTAAAAACCAAGAACAAAATGAAACTAATTTTTCTGAGAAATCAGTTTTGAATACGCTCGAGAAGGATAGGATAGCCTCTCTGATACGGAGATCAGATAGTGGAATTATACACAAGGTGAGGGCGTACCAAAGAGCGATATAAAATTTTCAAGGTTTGTACGTTTCTGAATGTGACAATGACAATAATGCAATGGAAAGTCCACACAATAAAGAATTTTGTATTAAATTCAACCCATTTCACCTGTCCCAAACAACTCACTTCAATTTTTGTGTTAATTTAAAACAAAGTATACGTATAAATACGTAATATCAATATTATGTCAAAAATTAATGCAAAATTAATCGACACTATATGTGTTAAAAATTTGACATAAAAATTTTAACAAGGACTGAGCTTTGATATAAGTACAAAGTACTTTTTACTATGCAGTTTTTAATAAGATAAAGCTAAGATCATGAAATTGGACGGAAATTGGAAATTGGACCAAATTTCTCGGGGTAAATCTGAGAGGAAACAAAATTACTTAAATACATACAGATGAGTTAAATTTGACATCTTAGAGTGAACACCAAGTAGATTTCCCGCACGACAGTTTCGCGCAGACGTTCAAGTAACATTGACATTTCCGCGTATTGCCGATGACTCGCGGGGGAAAGGCGTACGTTTCACCGCGTCTGTGTTTGCACGTTGATTTCGGCGTAGGTCGCCTCTCCCGAGACGCGTCACGTTCACCTCGAGTTTATCGTTCGTGGAAGGTGCGTGACGTACCGCGCGGGGGAATTTTTTAAGGTACCAGAGCCTTATCGATTGTTTCGTCAGCTAATGTTAAACACCTCGTCGTTGGCCAGGAGGCATCCTCGCAGTCGACGACTCGCCACGTAGGTGGAGGAGAGATATCGTAGGTGCGATCGTGCGAAACGTCGAACGTAATAATTACAGACGTGGCGATGAGACGACGACGCATCAAGTCGCTTCGATTTCGTAACGAGAGTCTCCAGTCATCCCATGATGGTGTATATTTCGCACCTATCGTTTGCCCGTACCTGTAATTTACCGCGCGTCTGTTGGCCGGTACGTAAATACTCGTTAATTTGGAGATTTTTCGTCTTTCGTTTCCAAGTACTTTCAATCTCAATAAGAATCACTTCCGCGTCCAAGAATTGAGCTCCGCTAAATATGAGTATGAACGATTAAGTTAAGAGCGGTGGTATCAGCGCATCGCACCGGCATTCTCGTCATCGCGCGATTTCGTCATGCGTGTTCTATGCAAATAGCGCTTTATGCAAATGCCGATGCTCGGCCTTTACGGAAGCCGCTCTGCGAACAACGAATGCGGAGTCGCGCGTTATGAACGACCACATAGGGAATAACGCATTTCTATGAGATCTGATGAAAATTATTTTCATCAAATATAATCCTGTGACTGAGACTGTGGCAAAATCACGAGGCTCTATCTATGCAAATAAGCAGCGTAATGCGCACAGAGGATTCTTTAACGTAGACACGAATTTAAACGCGCGATCCAACCATTGGGAGAGCTTCGTGTGCACTGAAAAAAGAATTTGGTAACAATTATCAAACATTTAGTGAAATAGTTTTGAATTTCACTAAATTTTTGATGATTGTTACCAAACTTTTTCAACGTATAAAAATATCTTGTGTCCAAATGTAAAAATTTTCTTGAGTCACTAACTTTCCACTATTAATTTAATGTAAAATTAATATACAGCTGATATGTTACCATTCCCGATCCGTTTTATATGTTTATATTTATATTTATATATTTATATTAATCTATATTAATATTTATATTAATTTAATAACAATTATATACATATTTAATGGGGTATAATTAATATCACGTGTTGGAAGAAAATGTGTTAATCGTTTCATTTACATTTTCAATTTGTGAACAAGTAACATACGACGATGAGTTATTTCGGCTCAAAATTTAAAATGAACATTCTGGGACATGTAAACAATGTTAAAATTAACATTTTATTTTTTACTGTGCGTACTACGTAAAAACAAAAAAAATAGACGTTACGTAATCGTGAGAAGCGAGGTGATGATGTGAGATGACGCCTTGATAACAAAGCTATGCGTGAGAAAAATTCAGGGTCACCGTATGTGGTTAGGAGGGAGAAGAATAGAAGGTTGTAATGATTGTAGATTTGATATCTTCGGTGCGCGCGCGTGTTCCTTGTTAATGATCACGTCACGTGTTAATGCCGTCACCATACTTCTCGGCACGTATATCATCATTTATACAATATCAGGCCGTACATGGAAAAGAGAGAGAAAGAGAAATTGTGATAAGATCTCTGAAAATAAGTAGCGAAAAAATATTTTCCCTGGAAAGTTTAATTTGACACGTTCTCATTTACGAACGAGTTAATGAGGTTGTTTTGCACTCGCTTTTTAATTACGATCGCGCGCGAGAGACGTGCGTGAAATTTCGTAAAATTAAAATTTTGGAAAAAGAAACGTCGGAAAGAGAAACGTTTGCAGAGTTGCTAATTAACGATTTTCCGCCGAGTAGTAATGAAACTGATCACCTTCGCTTCGCTTATCCACCCGAGGGCTACATTGAGCATATATTAGCTCTAAATAATCCGATGCGATTAGAGTATCAGCGACGGTCGGCACATTTACATGAGAAAAGGTTGTGTAACTAGTTACGACTATGTCTGCGTACCAAGGCGAACGTATAGCGGCGAGATTTTATTACCTTGCTCTTTGTTCCGTATTTATTGCTTTCCTTTAAACGCGCCGTTGCTCGCGAAGGTAGAACGCGAAACTTCTTCGAGATGCGCAGAATATTTTTACCTTTTCTTCTTACAGTTTCCCTTTTTACACGGTTCGATTTTGTGAAGTTGAAAAATACTTGAAATACCGATAATCGCGAGAGAGCAATAAGCGAAAGTAAGAAGCGAAAAATAAGAGATTAAAGATGAAAAAAAGTTTAATTCATTGAAACGATAGAGGAAATGGAAGATAATATAAAATCTAATTCTTCCATTATCGCTTTGTGGATCAGATGTGAGATCAGCTAAACACGCGACACGTCAATGTGCAAATAACACGATCGTATTTACAATCGTCATATCCGTTTACCGGTCACTTCAAGACTCGACTGTCTTGTATACCCCACGCGAACTTTCCTTTTGAATTCACTCGGTGGTAAACACCGTATTTTGGCAAATCGTAGCGGCAAGCAGTAAACAATATCGTCTCGACGTTCGGAAAGTT